CCTCAGATTGTGAGTCGAGCGTCTTATCCACCTGGCCATGCCGGGCTCTTGTATATATAAGCCGCCAAGAAGTGACGGCGATAATGTGTAATTGAACTGCAGCCAGAGATAGATACGGACAGTTGAGTCGAGCACGTGAGGCGTTCGTTGTGAATTATAGCGTTTGTTATGGAAATTAAGTGTATTGCAAAGTTGTATTCAGAAATAATAAACCAGTTTTATTTAAGAAATGACTTGTATCGCTAAAGTTTCATCGGAAAGAATTTATACGGGAAACAAACTAACGACCAGAGACGTAACAATACATATATACGTGCAGCTTGTGTTAAGTCTCTAATAGGCATGTATTAGTCGTTTTAGTTTCAACGTGATATTTTAACCTGTAATTAAAATTATTTTAGCTTCAAAAACAAAAATATTTGACACACGAAAAAATGTTCTTAGATTTTCATTTATCCTGTTAAAAAAAAAAAGAACAAAATCTGTGAATTTAACGATATCTTCTGCTAGTTTTCCGTACAAATCAAGAAATAGTTGTAAACAATTACAGGAAGTTTAAAAATAATTTTAGAGTTTTAAGCAGAATGGATATAAAATAGACGATATGTTTGTGGTTTTGTAGTTAATTGTAAACGGTTTTTTTACAACTTTATGAAATAATGTTTTTCTGTTAATATTGAATTTCAATACGAAAAGATTAACGTCATGATCAGTTACAGTTCTTCAATCAGCATATTCTTCCTTTAGAATAATAAAATGTTAACCCTTACTTGTAGCATTGAAAACGTTTCGAAATAGAACAGCCTTAATACAGCTTAGGGTCATATGCAATATTTGAATTCAAAATGTCATTCATATGTTATTTCTTACAAACGATTAGTCATGGGTTTGTAAGCAGTTAATTAGTTATAAGTTACGCAAATTACTGGATAACGTTGTTTAAGCCTCTTTTTTTGATATTTCCGATACGTTAAGGTTAACAGTATTAGAAGTTCCACATTCGAATCAACTGTCGACCCTGAGAATCATGAGGACGACCAGAAACGACTCGGGAATTTATTCTTGTCTTGCACGTAATGATTATGGAGAAGACGTGATGAAGTTTCAAATGTCGATACAAGGTAATCAAACTTAGTAAATAAAAGGTGCAGTTATAACTCTTGTAAACACTTTGCTTTCAAAACTGTGCTGTTTATAGTTAATACAGTGGCTTAAAAACCTTAAATATTCCTTAGCTTTATCGTTCCAGTATCAGAAACTTCTATATATATACATTACCCCATTATTGTGAGCGCCACCTAGAATTCCGACTGAATAAAAAAACAAAAGTTACCCTATTCTCAGAGGTTAAACGATCCTATGTTTCATAGGAATTCGCATGCAACTTCTGACGAAACCAAGTGAAGATGCTAACAATTAATTCATGATTGGAAATGTTATTCCCCTTGCTCATAACCTTTCACTCTGTTTATAATTCAGTTTTACATCTGATGAAAATGATGTGTATAATAATTCTGTCTTTACAGTAAAATATGGAAGGATAGAAACTCTCTAGTCCATTGTGAATCTTAGTTGGTTAAATCATTGTTTTCTGATGAAACCTCTGAAAAAGACGTGTTCATATTTGTAGGTATGCTTCTACACATGCCTTCTTGAATTTGGTGAAACTCAAAGTAAAGACTAGTAGTACAGTAGTAGTTCATGAAATAGATTAAACCAAGAAATGGATGTTGAAGATTAAAGAACCGCATACTTCAAAGGATTTGAAAAGTTGTATAGTTGCTTCGAGAGTTTAAGTGATCCTTTCTTCCCAGAGGAATTCGTGTATCAAATCTATCCTGTTTCCTCTATTTGTAAGAAAAGATGTACTTGTCAAACTGGCCATATATGAAGACTTCGTGCCATTCTGTGATACAAGTACGTGAAGGTTTCCAATACAATGACCACAAGTAAATAATTACATACCGGTTCATCAGAACTTTTATTTCAATAAATTGATTTTCATAATACTATTATTTATTATTTTTTAACTACTCCTATTATATTGTTTCGACAATTCACTTATCAATAATTACACAAAGGGTAAATAGAATAAAGATTTCGATATCTTTATCGTTATTAAACGTTACCCAAGTACATCCTTCGGTATCGGAAAAAAAAATGTAACAGTCAGTCAAATCTTTAACATAGAATGTTAGCTAAAATCTTAGCTTATTCGATTATTTTCAAACGAGGGAACATTCCCTGCAATCTGATAGCTTAAACATAATCTCACTAACTGTCCCATCGCTAAATAGCGTAATGGCTTTTGGCGATCGAAAGTCACGTCCTAGCGTTTCGCAATCTAGAGAGCATTGTATCAACGTTTTGACACATAATTAAATTTGAGGGAGGGCTGGTTGAGATTCTGATGGGTAAAAATAGAGGGAAAAAGAGCGACAGGCAGGAAGAAACTCACTTGGCTCTGATGACATTAGAAAATGGATTAGAGATGAGAAGCTTGAATTTGGACTGTTGGTGCAGGCAACGAAGAATAGAGAACAGTGTACAACCATAATCTCGACCCTCAGACTTGGGAACGACATCATGATTTATTGATACGGTGTCCAGGAATTTAGTGACCCTGTTTATCATTGCTTTTCTAGAAACCACAAACCTAATTTTTAGTATTTTAAAAAAAGTTCTTGCAATGTTTCGTAAGTTAAAAGTCAGTAAATATGATTACGTATTAATGTAATCTAGCATGTTCAAGAAAAATGCATGAAACATATACTTAAATATCAAAAGGTAATTAAGCTAAAGGTTAGTTTTGTTCGTTTTTGTTTACACAAGAGGCGATATATTAGTATGGAGAGTTTAGAGTTTTGTACCAAAACTAAATTGGATATTATAATAGGTCAGAGGTTGATTATTTGAATATTATAATGAGTCTGGAGGCAATTGTTTATACATTATAAATGAGCGTAAAATAAATTATTTTATTATTATAAGTAAGCCTGAGTTTAATTATATATATTGTTATAAATAAGCCTGAGTTGGATTATATATATGTATATTGTAAATTAGTCTGAGGTTAATTATGTTTATACTGTGAGTCTGAAATCAAATGTTTAGATATTATAAATGAGCCCGAGGTTAATTATGTTTATACTGTGAATCTGAAATCAAATGTTTAGATATTATAAATGAGCCTGAGGTTAATTATGTTTATACTGTGAATCTGAAATCAAATGTTTAGATATTATAAATGAGCCTTTGATTTCAGACTTACAGTATAAACATAATTAACCTCATGTTTAGATATTATAAATGAGCCTGAGGTTATTTATTTGGATATTATAAATGAGTGCGAGGTAATTTATTCGGATATTATAATTTATGTTGAATAAGTAGGGAAATTGTTACATTGGTAGTATAAAAAACTTGAAGTGGATACTATCATTTACACATTCAGGAGAAGGTCATTAAAGTAAAACATTTTTTAAAGAAACAAGCGTTATTATTCAAATTTCAAAAAATAAATATACACTTAATAGGCACATAATATATATATAAAAGTACATTACTGTCTGTATTTCCAAATAAAAAATGCCAGAAAATATCATTAGTTACTTCTGAAAGAATAGGATAATGTTTGTAACATATATGTTTTCTAGCACCGTTATCGTTCTGTGTAATTAAAATAGCAGCAAAATAAAAACACGTGTATTAGAAATATTTGAAATAGTACCCATACTTCTGTCATAGAAATATTTGAAATAGTACCCACAATTCTGTATTAGAAATATTTGAAATAGTACCCATACTTCTGTCATAGAAATATTTGAAATAGTACCCATACTTCTGTCATAGAAATATTTGAAATAGTACCCATACTTCTGTCATAGAAATATTTGAAATAGTACCCACAATTCTGTATTAGAAATATTTGAAATAGTACCCATACTTCTGTCTTAGAAATATTTGAAATAGTACCCACAATTCTGTATTAGAAATATTTGAAATAGTACTCATACATGACAGAAGTATGGGTACTATTTCAAATATTTCTAATACAGAAGTATGGGTACTATTTCAAATATTTCTAAGACAGAAGTATGGGTACTATTTCAAATATTTCTAAGACAGTTTAGAAATATTTGAAATAGTACCCATAATTCTGTATTAGAAATATTTGAAATAGTACCCACAATTCTGTATTAGAAATATTTGAAATAGTACCCATACTTCTGTATTAGAAATATTTGAAATAGTACCCACAATTCTGTATTAGAAATATTTGAAATAGTACCCGCAATTCTGTATTAGAAATATTTGAAATAGTACCCACAATTCTGTATTAGAAATATTTGAAATAGTACCCACACTTCTGTATTAGAAATAGTACCCATATATATATACGAGATACGAAATAACTTGTACGTGTATTTTATCAGAGGCACCCGGTCCAGTATCTAACATTTCTGTCACCAACGTGACGGGAAGAACTATTTCTCTTGCCTGGGTGGAACCATACAACGGAAATAGCGACATCTCTTGGTACTTAATAAAATATCGGAAAAAAAATGTTGGTAAGGGTTTTTCGTATTTCTAGTTATAAATAAATAGTATTATCATTTCTATCAGTATTTTTTTATCCTTGCTAGCGTCTAAAACTGATGTATTTTATTTGCCTGCTTAGATATTATTATCAAAGGGTTTATTCTTTTAATGTCAGGGTAATTATAAACTGGTACATGGAACAAGTAGGTTGTTTGGTTCAGAAGCGTCGTGATTGTTCCTTTCCCAGAATTCTCACACAATCCAAAATATGAATTTTTCACAAGAGTTTCCATTGTATTTGTATGTAAATAAATGGAATATTTTCCTCTAGAACTTGTCTAATCGGCAGGTGTTGCTGACTTTGTTGCTCTCCATCTGGCCAATTCTAAATTATGATTGGCTAGGCCTAAACCTTCTGGTCTGGCCGTTTGGCTCATGTACCAGATAAGGTGCCATTCAGGCTGAAAATGTAGATGTAGTTGTGGTGAAATATTAAATAGGGCCAAAACGGGAAGAACGAATTAGCCCTTGAAACCCGTTTTTTAGCGTTATAAGTCTTCAGACTTACCGCTGAGCCACTGTAGACTAGCCTGGAAAGGATTTTAAGTATTTGGTAGATACTCTTAACCATCGGGCGCTATAATAAAGTGACAAATATATTTTAAATAAAACTGCCCTTAGTTCCTCCACTAAAACTGGCAAGGCAAAGTCTGATGGTTAGCATGTAGGGACTATTGATACGGACTCACATGGTTCGCGTCTCGTTGCCGCGAAGTTTGGGTCAGGGAGGGGGGTGCGCTATGTAAACAGTTAAATCTCATTATTTGGTCAGACAAGAGTACCCCAAGAATTAATGATGCATGCTATTGACTAGCTGTCTTCCCTCTAATCTATCAGTTCATAAGCAGTAATAGCTATACCCATATAACAGAGAAGTCAACCTAGACTTGTGCGTTTTCAAAGTATACAGGGGTTCAAATGACAAGTTAAATAAAATAAATGTTCTCACTACTGATTGGTTTCGACTGTTACCTGTCACTCTACCCGTTGTAAGTCAGATTACTATTCCCCCACGTAATAAGCTTACTTGTTACTTGAAGCTAAAAAAATAATAATATTGCAGCTGTTGTATAACTTTCTGGCAGAGCTGTACAATGTCTGTCTGCGCAAACTCATTCTTAATTTTGAACTGACAGACAAAATGGAAGCCAACTAGTCAACAATAGTCACCACCAATTCTCGGGCTGCTTTTGTCTGATCGAAAGTAGGACTTAACCGCCACGTTTATAATGCAATCACAGCCCTAAAGTACAGAGTTTGTTTTAGCGGTAACAGGTCACGAATCACCGGGGTCACAGTTCGCGCACCGTAACCTCTAATCCTGGCCTGTTCATAATAGTAAGCCGCAACCACAACACTGAAAAGAATAAGGCATATTTCAAGCTGTAAAATAAGAAAAACCGTTAACCAAAGCACTTTTGGAAGATAGGTCTTTCTTCTCTCTCCAGAAAGTATACTTGCCAAAAATGCATGGGTTATCGCGGTTGGTATTTTGTGATGCATCCAATTTTCAATTCTGCGTAATTTCTTTGTGGCATGCACTAAATCAGCGGATACGCCCTCTAAATAGTTTTGTTGATTTAATCAATCAACTACAGAAAAGTATATATGATTTTATTCATATCTCGATGATACAGCATTAACTATTTGACAGAATCAATTCAAGCTGAACCAGTAACTTTTTGTGTCAGAAAGGCGCGTAACTGTCTTACCCAGGTTAAGTTACTTATTTCTGATAAGTTTCAATATAAAGACAGGTTCAATCACTTCTCACTCCAGCAAAATAGTAATTAAACTATAAAATAAAATAAAAACAATCCAATATGTTTATAACATATCACTTGTTTGATTTTAAGTCGGCGAGAGATATTTTTGTAAGGTGATTATACCAAACATTTTTTTTTTATATATAACTTACAATAGACTATAGTGTTTAAAAATTATGTTTATATATGTGAAAAGTAAAAAGAAAAGGCACCAAGATGAGAGCGTGTCTCAAATGATGTTGATGGCACGATTTGTTGGAAGTTTTAACCCTCTTTGATCAACAACTCAGGGGTTGAAGAATTGGATTGCGGATGGGTAGCTTTTGAATTTGGACAAATATTCCTTTGATCCCGACATGTACGTGAACAACGTTTCTTATTACTACAGGAAGGAAAGTGTAAATGAGAATGCATACAACGCTAAAATCCGGGTTTGATTCCACCACACTGAACACAGCCGATAGCCTAATGTGACTTTGCTCTAAAAATCCAAACAGATGTCGATATATGTACAGGAGTGGGTGCAAATATTCATCTAGCTGTTCTACATAAATATTGGCAATGTTCAACATGTGATCTTTCAAGTATTTATACAGCTTATTAACAAAGGCCTTTAACATTCTAATATGAATATTATAGTTCAAATGCCGTATATGAGCCCGTTGTTACAATAACAAATATACATTTATTCGATGACGAGGAACCCACTTTGAGACTAATAATGGCTGGAGACATTATTAGTCATCATCAGGTACCTGATGATGACAAAACCTTGTCGAAACGTTGTACATTTGCTTCTTACAATAAAATCACATATCTAACAGCAAGAAACCCACACAATCCTACCTTAGGCCTACATTTCCTCTAACCGATGGTAGTACTCTTGAAGTTAAGACGTCATAGCACATGGTAAGTGCTGGAAAACGTTATCAGAGTAAGGCTTTAGAACTCGTGTAAAACAAATTTTTCATTAGCGAGACCAGGTTGTTATCAGATATTATACAAAATGCACCATTATTAGTTGTAATACCGTGGCTATGTGAGAAAAATTAAGTTTTTAAAGTCAAACTAAACGTTTTTTATATAAGTCAGTTTTAAGCACCTTAAGCAGCTTGTTTTAAAACTATTTCAATATTTGAAAGGTACTACTAATAATGTTGAGTTTATGTTTTGTTAACATAATAATTTAGTTTGAAACATTCTAAAGATGAGCTCAATGTGGTATTTTGGGTTAAATTTAAATAAAACTAATAATATGTAGTATTTCTAAAAGAGAAGGTTAATAAAGCGATTGAATTATGGGGCAAAAATGAAGGCAGTCCAATTAACTAATTCTTAGTGATGATAATTTTGAAATTTATGACTTTATAAGTATATTTGCAATTATTCCTATAAGTTAGGCTGTTTGGGTATCAACTTGTCAAATCACACGTTTAGGGCAACAACAGAAGTGGTTAGGCAACAAGACTGTGGATGGGTCTGAACGAGCAGCTGTCATTAGTGGCTTAGAGCCAGCAACAAGTTACTTATTGAGCATTACTGCAAATAATTCGGTTGCTTGGAGTACACAGAGCAAATGGATCGAGGTGGACACTGAAGAGGAAGGTAAGAGAAACGTTATTTAAAGTTCTCAAACAAAACACCTGAAGACGAAGCATTTAGTACCATGTTTTTTCTCGTGTGTGTGTGTGTCACGTCAAGTTTTCGATTGTTTGGAGTATTCAGAGAAATGGATCAAGGTTGGTAGTGAAGAGAAAGGTTAGTTTTAAAACTAAATTGATAGAGTCCTATTTTCTGGGTTTTGATGAATGATTTGGTTATGAGCGTTCATTTTATTTATTCAGGTTAGTTTTAAAACTAAATTGATAGAGTCCTATTTTTTGGGTC